CACATTGATGCCTTGCCAAAGAATTGCGCAGATGCATTTTCCAGTCCATTACTCTAAATGAACTGGCTGTCCTGATGCACTGCATTCAGAGACAAGTATCAACAGGGCCTAGGTTTTGCAAAGCTTGAAGGCCACAGATCAAACACCACGCAGCCGTAACATACAGCCATGGCTGAAAAAGTTGTGTGCTTTGTGCCAAGAGTAAGCAAACCGACAATTCATACTAGATGAGACCCTTGGTTGCACCAGGCATCTCTCCATATAAAACAGGTACCTATCAAGTTCTCTCCTGCAAAAAAAAGGCAAGAAACCCAAAAGCTTGTAATTTTGCTATAAAATGGAATAGTTCTCACAGTGCATTTATCCAGTTTGTGATTTCCATCTACTATGAACTGGGGCCTTCAGTAACCCAACCTAAATAAGTAACAGTCATGTGCTCCTTAGATGCTTAATTGCACACAGGCCAGTCTTTAACATCTAGAAAGGAATCCACATGAATTGTATTCCGCTTAAAGGGTTTAGAATATAATTTAAGCAAATCATGAAGGTGTTCAACCATATTAGATTAAATCTCATACCTTGGAGTCTAGTTCCAAAAGTCTTGTCTTTATGGACCAATAAGCTTGCTTACACTTATACGATTGCAGAAAGCATCATGCACTGACCATTGCCATTAATGTTTCCACCTGTGCTTATGCAGGCTTACTTTTGATAAAAGTGCAACTTGTGCCTTATGTCCTACCATTCTTTCCTATGTGCCCTGTACTGGTCAATTTTGCAGGTGAATGTTTTACATTACCTGCCATAATTATCTATACATCCTATGTAGATTTAAAAAAAAAAAAAGTTGGCTCCCTTTGTAAGGGCAAATTCACAAATCGAGGCAAATTGGAATTTAGAAAATACACTTGTTTCTGCAGCTCGCAGGAGCACCAGCTAGTGTGCAATACAAAATATACACCTGTAAATACTCCATCTTGCATTCACACATGGATGTCATTTCTTAAACGATAAAGTAAACTTTTTGGGAAAATACAACTATATGCATGCAAACCTAAGTACCAGCTTTTACGTGTCTAGCCACACACAGCAGACTGTCAATGCAGTCCTATGGGCAGAATTGCACACCAGCTAGAGCTCCCAGGCACCTCAAAAAAGGTGTATGCCCATGCACCAATCTCCAAAGCATGAGCTCCAATAAGTCAGTTTGGGAAGAAAAAACCTATAGTAAAGACCGACCCAATTTAACCCACAGGCGCCTCCTGGCCCTTTAAGGGTTTAGAAGCTGAGAGGCGGGGCGGGGTTTAAGGGTCATGTGACCGCCGTGATTCACAGTCACATGATTGGGAACGGCTCGGATCGCAAGAGGAGATGTGTGTTGGGAGCGCGCAGGGCAGCGCTCTCATCACATAGGTTTCTTAATTGCACGCAAATGTGCGGCCACTTGGCATCAAGGCTCACAAGCCGGGAGGCCGCACATTTGCATGCGGTCGGCGCCACAAGGTTAAACTAGGGACAGTCTGATTTGTTCATTACTCATGCAAATTGTGTTTTCCACTTTCCATTGCTACACTATGGCTGTGTTTTTACTGCTCCTTTTGCAAAGTCAAAGCTGACATTGAAAACGGTGTGCCCCTATAACTTCACTCAGTGAAACAGACACTAAATGATGCCAAGTGAAATACAGCGATCCTTCTAGTGGAAAATCTAGAAACCCAATTTAGACCATTCAGGAACAAGCACTTAAGTGTGCAAGTCCAAAATGTGCTGTAAAGCAGAACTTAGATAGAAATTTCTCTTGTTCAAACTGGCAGCATCAGCTACACTGCAGAGGAACCGACATCGTTCCACCCTCTGAGATCAGAAACTCAAGTGATCAGGATTGTTCCTTCGTTTATTTACAAGCAGTTACCAGCGTATAAAGCATCTGAACAAATCAATCTTGGTTTGATCAGATGCTTTAGAGGCCAGGAGAGATTTGGTGTCTTAAACACCCCCCATCTTTCCATGAAGAGGACCTGTCACCGCCCATGCTATCACCAGCATGTTCAGTCCTGGTGATAGCAATAAAGTTGCTAAAAAAATAAAAAAAAAAAACTTAAAAAAAAAAGTATGGTATAAAAAAAATATCTTTTTAAATAAAACTAGAAAGTCCCCTTGCCCTCCATGCGTGAAGGTCAATGCTCATGTAGTTCATATTAGCCAGGCTTCTGAAGGGACCTAAATGTAAAATAAAATGAAGGATTTGAACAAATTGGCATGGATTTGTAATATCTACTGGGGCCCCTTAACCGCAAAGGCCATAATTAAAAAAAAAAAAGTAAACTTAGCCTTTAAGAGTGTAAATATTTCCATGTCCAGAGTCTAGTCACAGTTTTACTAAAAACTGGACTAGTAACACGGAGGGAAATTTACCAATACAACAAATAAACTAGAGCAGCAGTGTTCTGGCAACCAACAAACTTCTAGCTTTCAAAGCTAGACTCAACAACCTGACACTAGAAGCTGAAAAAAGGCACAAGTACAAGTTCAGACTTGGGTTAAATGTTTCTATCCAAAAATTTACAAGGCCAACGTGGAGCATAAAAATGTGCCATCTAATCTAAATTTAAAAAAAAAAACACAAATTTTAAATACCAGATATTACATAAATCTATAGGGAAATGGCATTTTGGTAACAGTTACAGCAAACCTAATGGAATGCAAAAATTTACATAATTGGGGCTCACTCAGGCACCAAGTTTTGGTTTTTTTTTTTTTGTTTTTTTTTAAATACTAGCTCCACTGAGGTATGTATCCATTCACAGAAAGTAAATGGGTACACATTGTCAGATCCACCCAGAGGTTTACAGGGATGCAGGACAGGTGCATGGTACCCACATTCTATGGGCTGCCTGCAGCTCAGCGGTAGTAAACAAACGGCTCTGGCCACTGCATAGGAGCGAGCATCTATGCAAGTGAGCCCTTAGACCAAGAGTTGTGTTACAAGCCTGAAACTTTATGGCCACTTTATAAATTAAATGTTATGCTGGTCATACAGCCATTTTACAAAATTAAATGGTATGCTGGCCATACCTTAAAATCAGTTTTAAAGTTGAACAAAAAAATCTAAAAAATTTAACCAAATGAATCCTCACATTTTAAAAGGACTAGTCCTGGAACAAATACAATTCAACGGTACTGCCTACTGACCTAGATGTGATTTTATCACTAGCAGTAGTGTTCCTTATGGAGTCCACAACAGGAACAGGGAAATGACAGCTAGAATGTGCCCAATTGTTATGAGCAGATTTTTCAAACTTTCTTAAACCCTCTACCGGAGATTTCTGAAAGCAAGTTTTAGTATACAAGGCCAGCAGGGATGGGATGGGAGTGGGATGCCCCTGTCAGAATTTACTGATCAGCACCGCAGCCTATTGGCTGCATGCATTGTTCATGAGAAACTGGCTTGTTAAAATCTCGCTTGAACAGCCATACATAGATCGAAGTTTGCTTCAGCAGAAACTGTCCAGACTGCACATGCTCTGCCAATGCTTGGCTGGGCAAGTTGGCAAAACATGGCTGGATATCAGAGGTCCCCCCCCCCCATCCATCTATGGCTAGCTTATTGTATGAAGTCAGTCTCCCACTGTAGCACCTACCCTTCTATTTTCATAGAATGAAGTTTGCCTAGAACAGAACTCTAGGAAGCAAAAACGAGAACTTGCTAAATAAAAAACGTGTAGTTAAACCACAACGTAATCCAACTTAGGATAGACATTCTAGAAACATCCACTATTGAGACTATCAAAGTGTACTAGCCAAGACATGCAAGACTGACAATGCACCATACAGAAGAAAACTGAAGACTGGAAGATCGTAAAGTGTTCAACACTGGGGGGAAAAAAAAAAAAAAAAAATTCTCAGGTCCAATTTTCCCAAACACGGCTCAACTTTAATACCTTTAAAATCTTTGATGCATTGTAAAGTTGCCCAGTTTTACTATGGTGAACCATCAAAGTATACTTTTGTGTGTTCTAAAAGCTTAAGCCATACATTTATGCATCAGGTTTCAACCGTTGATGACAAACATATGAGGAGAGCAGACGACCACTTCTACATTTGCAGATCAATACTTCTAGGAGGGAAGTAAAATCCTGACGTACAGGGAGGAAGAAAAAAAAAAAAAAAAACCACCCCTCACAATTGTGTGTCTGGCTATTACATAAGAATTTAGAGATGAATAAGTTGACATGATCTACATTTAATTAAAGAAAGCAGTGATGGAAACTGAAGTGGCCCCATAGCACCACACAATACTGAAGTTTTTTTTTTTTTTTTTTTTCTTAAATGAAATATAGAAACTGATATGAAACACTGGAATTATCTGCAAATGTTAGGTGTATAAAGAGATGGCACTTAAACACTACAAACTGACAAGTGGGGGGGTCACCAACAGCTACTTTACCCTACAAGTCAGTGATGTAATGACTTTAAAGTCAGAAGGAAGCTGAGCTCTTAGGACATTCAGCAAAAGTGTTAAGTAATATGAACACAAAGTAGGCAGAAAGGATCTCTGGAAGCTAGGAGTTAAACCAATCAGGCACTTGAGTCCTACCTCCTATTCTTTGGTCCAAACACCCCCTATTTACATATCTAAAGCCTGCAGCAGTACATACAAGTCTAGCAGGGGAGAAAAACTTTAAGAATACTAATGGTAGTCCTTCAGTGAGTCCTGTTTGATGAAAAGATGGAGTATATGCCAAAATGAATGCCTTCATGATCTCCAGCTGACATGAGGGAAAAAAAGCTATCACTTTAATAAGAACACAAAATGTAGACTTCCCTGTTAAGTTTAGGAGACCATCAGGCAAAGCATATACCCCAGTCACTGCTCAGCCTGCATGTCAGTTGCAGCATGGGAGCCATGTCTGGTATGAGGAGTGACTGCAGGACACAAGGGGCTGTAGAGGAGTGAAATAGTAGCTGCTGTAGTTCCCATCATTCATGAATGGAGCTGGCTGGTAATAGCAGGTGAAATTTGGGATAGCAGGAACAGCATTCTGCTCAGATAGTACCTGAAGTGCTAAAGAGGCAATTAGTGTCAATGTCTGGCGTCTCTCATGTCCCATTAAACATACTGTGCTTTCATTCACCACATTGTGAAGGGTCATCAGGCAATCATAGCGCTTGCCTTCCATGCCCACAAAGTGGTCCTGGAGGTAGCACTTTAGTTTTCGTAACTGTTCTCTTATATCTGGGAAATCTATGAAGTATCGAGAGCACATGTACCGCTGCATTGTTTTCATGTCCACTTCAGATTTTGGTTTAAATCCACGAACCAGCAAGTTACAGTATTTAAGAAGTCCACCTCCCCTGATCTCCTCTGGGTTACGTGTAGCAATGATTTTGTTGCGCAAGTGGTCCATGGCTTCCTCAAAATTTCCATACATGCTCTCTCCAGTCACAGTGGGGTGGAAGGTTGGAGTCATAAGAGTTTCTGAACACTGGTTGGCTAAAAGCATTGACTCTAGTATGATCTGGAATGAGTCAACACTAAACTCAAACTGACGTCTTAGAGTGTCCACAAACTTTAATTCCATATTTTTTTTCCATTGTTATTTGACAAAGATATCAGACTCCATCGATCACTTTCAGTACAAACCTTAACCAGCTTCTGTACATAAGCTTCCTTTAAAGTCATAGGTGTGATCTTCTCTTTGTTAACTCCAGGTGGCAGGAAGTCCAGGAGGCAATCCAACACTGCATGCTTCACCACCTGAAATGCATCAGGTCCTTTCAAGTCAACCATAAATATAAGGTCCAAATCCTTATATCCCAGGCCACTGTCTTCATGCAGCACATGACTAGCAGCAGAACCATTTAGTCTCACATTGTGAACTACAATACCCTTTTGCTGTAGACGACTTCGGACCACCTGCAAGAGAACACAAAGTTAAGAGTTATGAATGCTAGCAAAACCCAAAATTAAGAGATGCAGTTGTCCATAAATTAAACATGCTATAGGGCCATTCACCCACTAACACCTGGACTGTGTGCGCTTTTTATTTTATGGACCTTTGATACCACACAACAGTGTGGACAAAATCCCAAGATGCATAACATGTTGTAGCCTGCGGAGTGTTCTCTACATAATGCTGCAAATAACCCTCCTGTATAGAAAGCCCTGTCAGCCTGAAAGTACTCTTTAAAAAGCAGCTGTATTTTTACCCTACCTTTATGATCCAGCTACATTTTCATAGCTCCTTGAACTCTACAACTGCATATAAAGCAGCCTATCACATCAGGGTAATGTACATGCGATTTTTAGATTCCCTACTATGCATTTCTTCAAGAGCCGTTCTCCAAGTATGTGACAAAACAGTAATTTAAATTATATTCAAAATTAGCAGGAGGCACTTTAGAAACCCCACTTTCTGGTTTCCAGGCCTAGGCAAAATGTCATACATCCCAGGAGTCTTCAAGGGAAAGTGGGGGTTCTCAGCTAAAGCACACCCTCCTGTCTGAATTCCTGAGCCAAGGGCAGATTGATGCCAGGCAGTAAATACATTGATAATCTGCTCTTACTCATCAGGTGGGAGTTTTTCAAAGTGATTACTCAACAAAAAGCACAGAGACCTGGATGAATGGGTGAGTTTACTTTGTATAAAATAAAAAAAAAAAAAAGTTTGGTTTGTGGTGCTCTGATGCAGTGTAGATGCGCTTTTATACACGAACCAAGATGGAGCAGCATGTACAGTGAGGAACAGAAGTATTTGAACACCCTGCGATTTTGCAAGTTCTCCCACTTCGAAATCATGGAGGGGTCTAAAATTCACATTATAGGTGTAAATTCAGGAAATCACATTGTATGATTTTTAAAGAATTTGTCTTGCACTGCTGAACGTAAGTATTTGAACACCTGAGAAAATAAGTGTTAATATTTGGTACAGAAGCCTTTGTTTGCAATTACAGAGGTCAAACGTTTCCTGTAGTTCTTGACCAGGTTTGCACACACTGCAACAGGGATTTTGGCCCACTCCTCCACACAGATCTCCTCTAGATCTGTCAGGTTTTGGGCCTGTGAGCAACACGGAGTTTCAGCTCCCTCCAAAGATGTTCTATTGGATTTAGGTCTGGAGACTGGCTAGGCCACTCCAGAACCTTGATATGCTTCTTACGGAGCCACTCCTTGGTTATCCTGGTTGTGTGCTTTGGGTTGTTGTCATATTGGAAGACCCAGCCACAACCCATCTTCAATGCTCTGACTGAGGGAAGGAGGTTGTTGCTCAAAATCTCACAATAAATGGCCCCATTCATCCTCTCCATAAAACAGTGCAGTTGTCCTGTCCCCTTCACAGAAAAGCACCCCCAAAGCATGATGTTACCACCCTCATGCTTCACAGTAGGGATGGCGTTCTTGGGATGCAACTCATCCTTTCCTCCAAACATGAGGACGAGTGAAGTTGAGACCAAAGTAGGACTTTTTGGTCTAATCTGACCACATGACTTTCTCCCATGCCTCCTCTGGATCATCCAGATGGTCATTGGCAAACTTCAGACGGGCCTGGACATGTGATCACTTGAGCAGGGAAACCTTCCGTGCAATGCAGGATTTGAAACCATGTAGGCGTAGTGTTCTACTGACAGTGACCTTTGAAACTGTGGTCCCAGCTCTTAATGTCATTGACCAGCTCCTCCCTTGTAGTTCTGGGCTGATTTCTCACCTTTCTTATCAGTGATACCCAACGAGGTGAGATCTTGCATGGAGCCCCAGTCTGAGGGAGACTGACAGTTGTCTTTAGCCTCTTCCATTTTCTAACAATTGCTCCAACAATTGATCTATTTTCACCAAGCTGCTTGGCAATTGCCCCGTAGCCCTTTCCAGCCTTGTGGAGGTCCACAATTTTGTCTCTAGTGTCTTTTGACAGCTCTTTGCTCTTACCCATGGTAGTTGGTGTTTGACTGGGGTGGACAGGTGTCTTTAAAGAGCTCAGACAGGTGCTACTAAGTTAGATTAATGAGTGGAGAAGAGGTGGACTTTAAAAAAGGCACAGTAACAGGTCTTTGAGAGAGAATTCTTGCGGTTTCTTAGGTGTTCAAATACTTATGTTCAGCAGTGCAAGACAAATAAATTCTTTAAAAAAAAAAAATCATACAATGCAATTTCCTGAATTTTTTTTTTTAAATTCTGTCTGAGTGGGAATGCACCTACAATGTGAATTTCAGACACCTCCATGATTTATAAGTGGGAGAACTTGCAAAATTGCAGGGTGTTCAAATACTTCTGTTCTTCACTAACTATATACACACAATTATGCAGCTCTGCCTCATTTATCAAATTCAGAAAAAAAGACCCTTTATGTTGAAGCAGACTGCTTTCATATTTGCAGCTACTCAGCATGTGGGACTTCATGCCAAGTGGCAGCAAATTTGCAGCCCTGTTTAAAAACAAACAAGGAGCATGCTCCATGCATGCTTGCAGCATGGTAGCTGGCAGTGATCGGTAAGCACCTGATGCATACTTGCTATCGGGATGTTTCTGATCATGTGACAATCACAGCAACAATCACATGACCTCAAGAACCCTTAAAGAGCCAGGAGGCAGTCAGCACCAAGGGGTTAAGAGGGGACAAATGCAAGAACATGCTATTGCAGTACCTTTAGGGAACCAGCAAATAGAGCAGTGGTAGTGGTGTGAGAAAAAAACACAACCTGTTAGAAAAAAGTTCCAGCGACAGGAGTCATGGACCTGTGTTATGCTGAAAGTAGAACTTTTGCAAGTCTGAATGATGCAACTTGAATATTCAGGCAAAGCAAATTAACTTTCTGAAAGTCCTTGTACTTTGCCATGAATTAACCTTTTAAATTATATGTAAATCCTCATTGTAAAAACTTATTCAGTTTAAAAATATAAAATGTTATGTTTTGCCTTTCATTTCTAACAACGTTACCTTTCCCTCTTTATAATCACATACCCTCAGTTCTTGGCTGCATAGGGAGCTCAGAGCAGAAACAGCAGTACACTGGTCTTTCCAGTGAACGGAAGGGGTGGGAGTGTCAGGACAAGTCTGTACATTTGACAGCAGGCAAGTTCCAGCACAGCTAGAAAATTTGTGCTTCGCTTGTTCAATTTTTAATAGGAAATCAGAGGGACTGGCAGGAACACCAGGGATTTCACATAGAAGAAACCATACAAAGAACAGGACAGATTTTCATACAAGCACATAGTACAGCAATTTGACATTTTGGGTTTACATATTCTTGCCACTGCTGGCTTTCAGAGCAACTTTGATATAATACTCAGACGACAATTTTCCCCGCATGAGATTGTGTCCCAGAACAGCCACCTGATGACTCCCTTGTGAATCTGGCATACTCAGAACATAACCAAAATGTGGTAGGGGACAGCCAAAGGCTATAGATTAAAAGCTTTAGAATATGGGGCACAAAAACCTTTGAGAGGAAGTATATTGGTAGAAATATCTAATCATATTGTCAGGACTCACTGTCATTAGAGACTACTTAATACCCAGTGATGAAATTCACCAAAAGTACAATGGTTCCATACGAGAGGACCAGCAGCACTAGTTTGTCCTCTACAGTGGAGAAGTTGGCATTATTCCAGACATGTTGACTGTAAAAGGGCTTGTATATAAAACAAGCAGGACGACATCACATGCCTATACATCAGTACAAATCCTTTACTGTGATATAGGCCTACGACACAGGACCATCCTTTATGACTCACTAACTGCATTCTTTCCAGCGTACGTGGCTCCGTTTGAAAGGTTTTAAAAACACTGCACATTAAAACTAAAGTTTTGCCATCCAACATGTTTTTTTACAAGATCTTAGGGCTCATTCACAACCACATCACTCCAGCAACATGCATATTACTAAAACACACCAGGCACAAGTTTTCAATAATGAACTTGACTAAAAAAAGGATAAGTTCACCTTCTACAAAAAACAAACAAAAAAACGCACTTTTGCAGGTAAAATGTGCATTTGTTTGCAGGAGCCTGGAAAGCATTGCACCAGCGATCAGCAGATTGCTAATGCCATGCAGGTCTTGAGCAAGCAGATACACTGACAGGATGAATGAATGAACTACCACTGTGCTTTACAGTGCCGTGGTAGTTCATTGAGGACTACAAGCTGATAAGTGCTAAGGCTGTTGAGACGCAAGCCATACATGGGTCAAATTTCAAAATAATTCTTATAAAAATCTTCTAAGAATTTTCATTAAAATTTCACATTGTTAGTGGGCAACAGCAGATTTTCAAGCAACCAAATTTGAGTGATCGGACATGTTGGAAATTGTGAAAATCGAACAAATTTCTAATCAATGATGGGAGAATCGTGTGCAAAATGTAATTAAAAAAAAAAACAAAAAAAAACACCGCATGAGCTGTGACCTGCAAAGAAAAGAAATTCTTGGCCACGAATA